AAATTACCTTTTTTATGAACTCTTTGGTAGGCCAGACTAAAGTCACCCACGGGCCAGATGTGGCCCACTGGCCACCAGTTGCATATCACTGCAACAGGCTAATAATCTAGGACTGAAAGCACCCTGCCACTCTTTGGTCTGAAAAAGTCATGCGTCTTTTGAGGCTTGAGAAGCAACACCCACAGGTGTTTCTAGAATAGGGCTAAGGACGGCCGCAGTGCCAGAATCACAGAAGGGATTTTGTTAGCATAATTTGCTAGCATGGCTTGCTAGCAAAAAGGATWAGCAAACATGAAAAATATACTAAAGACTGATATCAACGAATAGAATATACAAGAGAGAATGTCCACAAAGTGCAGTGAAGAGTCTAACATCAACCTTTTTTTATTTAATCATGTTTGTCAAAAATGTACTGAACAAACTAAACCCTTTTTCACAGATAAGTACAGCAGGTTAAACTAAACAAAAACATTACACAACTACTTCCTGTTGTACTTTTCAAAGGTTTCTTAGTTTAATTGCTGAAAACATGTTTGTGTAAGAAGTCTTTGTTTTTTGTGTAACCCAAAATAAACCCTACAATTCATATAGCGTGCCTTTATGTTACGTAGGGCTGATCGTCTTGCTGTAATTTTTAAAGAACGTTAATGTGGGTGTAACTTGGGGAGTTCAAGTGAGGTTTTTGGCCCCTGAGGCCAGACTGTCCTAGATGTTTGAATGTGAAATGAAAAACAAAATTCCATTTAGTTTCTATGTCTCTCTCGATGGGAGGGGATGAACGTGTTCCAGTCTGACGTGTTTGGAGTATGAAACAAGAGGAACTAAACATTGTTTTTCACTTAACTGTGCCAAAGTCATAAAATGTCTTGTGTTTTCTTGTCAGATGTTCCGTTGTGTTAAAGATGAGCAGCATTCCTGCTTAATTTTAGCTTATATGAAACCCTGGAAGCAGCAGTACCTAATACATCTTGGTAAATATGGTACTTGTAAAGCAGTTTGAGTATCCTGGTTAGATAGAAAAGCATTACGTAAGTACACTGGTACATACATACCCAGTAAACACCATGTGGCTGGTAGATGCAGTAAGTACCACTTATCTGTTAGATACCAGGTAAGAAAATAAAGCTGCTGGAATGGCCCAGCCAATCACCTGACCTGAATCCAACAGAAAATCTATGGAAAGAACTAAAGATCAGAGTTCATAGAAGAGGTCCACGAAACCTTCAAGATTTGAAGACTGTTTGTGGAAGAATGGGCCAAAATCACACCTGAGCAATGCATGCCACTAGTTTCTCCATACAGGAGGCGTCTTGAAGCTGTCATTGACAACAAAGGCTTTTGTCCGAAGTATTAGATAAATTTCAGTAAGTGTGTTCAATACTTTTTCCCTGTGCCATTCCACATTATTACAAATAACTTCATTTCTGGACATTTATGGTTTGATTTCTTTGTATGTATGGATCACTTGGGTTGTTACCRACATCTGGTGAAAATTTCATGTCATTAGCACCTCTAGTAATATATTTACTGAGAAAAATGGTGTCGTGTTCAGTAGTTCTCACACTTTTGCCAGTTGGATATTTTGGAAGTCTTCTAATAACCTTGATATCCTGGTTGCATAGGATGAAGAAGCTGCTCCTCGATGTGGACACCGGTGTCGATGATGCCCAGGCCATCATGATTGCCCTCTCCTCCCCAAACGTGGAGGTTTTGGCCATCACCTGCTGCCATGGCAACACACCTTTGGACAACGTCCTCAAGAACACCCTGCGTGTCCTGAAAGTCTGCAACAAGCTGGATGTAAGATTCCCAGGGGTTCTTTTCTTAATGTTTTTAACCGTGTGGCCAGTATGTGAGGGTCTTTCCTGTCAAACAGATTCCGGTCTATAAGGGTTTCTCGAAACCTCTGCTGGAAAGCAAGCGAAATGCTGGAGATTACCACGGGATGGACGGGCTGGGTGACGTYCCTGATCCAGATGCTCCAGGCGTGGAGCTGCTGCAGAAGGAGGCAGCTGCTCAGGCCATGGTCAAGATCGCAAAACAGCATCCGGAGGAGGTGAGGTGAACAGGAGAAACTTGATCACACACAAGTACCACATTAGATTTAAAAACGTGGGTCGGCTTCCTTTCAGGGCTAGTTGGGCCCAGGTTTCCCCAAAGGTTTGTTTAATCTTTTTGTAAACTGTGAACCAAAAAACTTGTTTGGAAGGAACCAAACCAGGGGCTTCGTGTATCAATGGTGTGTACGCACCAAAAACGGTACATGTGTCCTTTTGCACACAAAACTTCGGTTGAAGCGTGGAAATGTCAGCATCCRCATGCCAACCTCATGACTGGTGCATGCAGGTTTCTGTGGTTCTGGTCCCACTGGCTGTTAATACATTCACATGTTAACAATTAGATGAGTGAATATCAAAGCATGTGCAAAATGGTACCAACACTAYTTTAGACATCAACAGCTTCAGCCTCATTGGATGATATACAAATGGTGCAAATTACTGAGAGTGTATATTYAGACATGGGGGGGTCTCTCCCTCAGGTGGAGGAGTTTAAGTACCTGGCTGTCTTGTTCATGATGGTAAGATGGAGCAGGAGTTGGATCAATGGACWGGGGCTTCAGMYTCAGTWATGAGGACGTTGCTTTGGTCAGTCATGGTGAAAAAGATGGTTCCTATAGAACTCGGTTGGTGACTAATGGGCCAGAACCTTCTCAATGGTAGCTCCTAAACTCTGGAACAGTCKGCCTTTTTCTGTGAGGTCTGTCAGATCTCTTAAKSAATTTAAATCTCTTTTAAAGACTCAACTCTTTGGTTTGGCTTTTAACTCTAGAGAGCAMATGCAGTGGGCCAGTCTCTTTTCTTTAATGCTGTTTTTATTTTGCATGTGTGTTTTAGCTTACCAGTGCRTGATTTTAGCTTACTGTTTTTTCTTTATTTTGGTTAGCACCACTTTGGTTGCCTTGGGGTGTGTAAAGTGCTATGTAGAAAAAGCTTTGATTGAGTTGTGAAATCTAATTTTATGTAAAAACAGAAGACAGCTGCTTACAGGTCTGTCATTGACCTTCATCTATGACATACAGTAAAATGAGCATTATTTCTAAACGTAAAGTGCTAACTCTGCCATTTTATTTTGCGCAGACACCCCTCTGTTCTAAAGGACTAATAATGAAGATGAAAGCAAGGACGTGATTAGGTTTCTTCTCAAAGACCCTGAAATACAAGTAAAGCTGAGTGAATGGTCTGTTGCTGCCTGCAGGTGATCCTTGTGGCMACCGGACCCCTCACTAACCTGGCGGTGGCCGTGCAGCTGGACCCCTCCTTCCCTAAGAAGCTGAAGGCGCTCTACATCATGGGAGGAAACAATGACTGTGGGTTATTTGAGGTTTAATCTTCATACAGCTGTGAGTGTCCTTCACCATGACCAATAACGGTTTGTTTGTGTGTGTGTGTGTGTGTGTGTGTGGTGGGGGCCCTCAGCCAGGGGCAACACCACCGTGTGTGGAGAGTTTAACTTCGTCGCTGACCCCGAGGCGGCTCACATCGTGCTGGATCGCTACAACTGCCCCACCTACATCGCAACGTGGGAGTTCAGCTGTCGAAGCAGCCTTCCATGGGTGAGACTGGACAAGAGATGCTAAATAACCACTTAAGACCAGGTTTGATTTCTTGTTTTTCTCTTCTAGTCTTTCTGTGATGAGTGGCTCTCCCACAAATCTGAGAAAGCTAACTTCATGAGAAAGATAACAGCCCTGTCCATGAAGGTAAGAACACGAGAACTGAAATTGTGTTAGCAGGTAAGATATTGACGCCTCTGCATTTCATAGGCTGGAACATATATAAATTTGATCACAAAAGCCACTCAGTCGAGACAGGTAGAGAACATTTGGTCATATTAAGCCTGGATGTCTCAGATGCCTCCTGCTTTACTGTCTGCAGAAAGCGAGGTCAGCCGAGTACCAAAAGGAGGTCATCGCAGGAGGAGGCTTCAATCCCTGCGACGTCTTCGCTTTGGCTGCTGCCGTCGATGATAAATTCATAAAAGAGAAGGACGAGGTGAGCACCCACCATTTAATTTTCTTTCTTTTTTTTTACTTAATCTGTGAGCGTTAAAACAAGACTCGTCCCTCAGGTGGCTGTGACGGTGGAGCTGGATGGGAAACACACCCGGGGCATGATGGTCCTGGACTACATGGAGCTGCTGCAGAAGCAGCACAAGGTCTTCATTATGAAAACTGTGGACTCGGAGAGACTGAAGAAGATGTTGATTAAAGCCATAAATTAGATCGATTGTGGAACAAACATGGATTAAACAGGCCTATATCAGAATAAAGTTTTTTTGTGATGGACCTCATATAACTGTTTTTTTTTTTGTCACTTGTTTTTTTTTTTTAATCTCCAATAGCTGTCACTGTAACCAAGACAGAGAACATAGAAATTCATATTTGCATTTTTCATAACATATTCTCTAAATTACGTAATTTAAGACTTGAGCTACAAATCTGAATGTTTTTTTAGCAAATACTGAGATCCTCTTTGATCACAATAAAAGCCAAAAGATTAATGTTAAACCTTATTTTGTAGTTATTTAAACGATAGATTTCTGCTTGTGTGAAAATTATTTCTAACTAGAGTAAAAGCATTTAAAAAGAAAATATTAATTTAATGTGTGTTTTTCAAATATATTGTGTGAATWCAAATTTTAGGTTGAGTTCCAGTTTGGAAGTGAGCCAGATTGATGTCTAACTTCCAGTTAGAACTTCTTCTGTGGACAAAATTACCATATATTACACATTTTATCAAGTATTTTCTTTTTTTTAATTGTTACGTTCATTTGGATCAAATGTTTTTTTAGAAGTTTGTTTTTTTAAACGACTTTTATCTCGAGGTAACAGGAAACAAAATATTGTGTTCGCCACAGAAAGGCAGAGGAGGCATATGTTTACCTTTGAGCCTGTACATGTAGGTCTGTTAGCAAACAAGAACCAGTGGATGAAAAGCAATCACTCATTACAACTTTTAGAGTCAAACTGATGGCTGCCAGAAAAACATGAAAATGGCTCCAACTCAATTTTACAAATATTAACCTAAAATTCGATGTTACCAAGTGATTCACAACACTCACACTAAAAGCCAGTGAGCAATATGTATCCGATCAAGGAACTGCCCTTTAATTTTTGTACACAATCACCATCTATTATTCATTTGCATGGAGACAACAAAATATGAAGCTAAATATTATATTTATTATCATTTTTCACCATTTTCTAAAGCTTTCTAAAGCAAAAATGTGATCCTATGGACATGTCCCATTTTTAAGATCAAGTCCACACCAGTTCAGTTTTTATCACTGTAATTGGAACTATACAGCTGAAAAACAAACATAAAAAGAACATTTTAAAGAAACATGAGAAATCTGCTGCTGGAAGTTTTAATCAGTAAATGAAAAAGCAGGAGGAAAACAGRTGTGTTTGATCTTACAAACATCAAAACTGAGGTAGTTTAAGTTAATAAAACCCTTTATTGAAAGTGCTTTGGAATGTACACTATAAAATAAGGAAAAAAAAGTCAACATCCATCATGTAGCCACTTTTCTCTTCCATGAGCAGGTTTTCATTTTTTCAGTCTTTTTTTTTTTAAGAAAACAAACTTATCCTCCTCAGAAAAAGAATCTTCAGTGTTTTTTTTTAATTTGTTATTTACAAAGAAAATATTGGATAAAAGTCTCAACTGTCTCCTCGTTTCTGCAGCTAGTCCAAACCCATCACAGCTTGCTGACCGGAGATCCAGTTTAACARAAAGCAACTGGATCAGCGCCAGTCCAGTCCCAACACGCTGACCGACAGAAGCTGGATACTTTGTCACGAAGGTGTAAGTCAGAAACAGGGTTCAGGTCGGCTCAGGGCCCCGTTAGTGTCCAACCCAAAGTGCTTCTACTGGACTCTGTACTTATAAAACCAGCAGAGACCCCGAGTCAAGTTCCAGCCCAGCGAGACGGAGAGGATGTAGAGGAGTACGAGCAGAGCRAAGGGGTAGAGGAGGACCGCCGTGTTTGTCAGGAAGGGCAGAGCTGTGAGGGTTAAAACAGACTCTCCTTAGAAACAATGTGTTTAAAGTGAACATGAAGCAGGCGGGAACGTGAGTGACACTTACTGTTGTAACCTAAGAAGGTGATGTAGAGATAGTAACCAATGGCAATCAGCCACAAGGTGTTCCCGACAAAATAACCCAGGAACCAGTCGAAATTTATTACCACCAAGTCTGAAATATAAATAAAATTTARATCTATTTGTAGCCAAAAACGAGGGAATGAATTGGGCTTGAACAGAAGTTCAGACACATTGAACTCACGGTTAATAAAGAAGAGCTGCAGAAAGTGCAGGATGACAAGAAGTGGGTAGAAAGCATTGAGGTGAACGTCGAACGCGTAACCCCACTCCACGTCAAAGTTTCTGCTGGGATGTTTCAGCAGGTATCTGTTACTGATAAACCTGAGAGGAGAAAAAAAAGAAATGAAAATGAGACCTGACTTTATTGTGAGGTTTTTAATTATCAAATAAAATCTCAAACTCACCACATAAGGGTTGATATGAGCAGACCGACTCCAATGCAGTCAACAAAAACCACCCACAGCAGAAGTTTCAGGGTCTCCACTAGTCCCATATCCAGTACAAGACCAAAACCTATTGTGGACACTGCACCAACACCAAACAGATCGAACACTTAACMCTTTACACACATCTTTATTAATGCRATATAAGAAGTAAAAGTTTACCACAAAGCCAGATGCTGAGGAGGACCAGAAAGGCAGGATCGTCCCTGGCCCACTGGTCCTTGGTTTGCTTCCTGTAGTGGAAGTTGCGGTAGACTCTCTGTGGCGACGTGAACAAGTAAAGCATCTGCCACAGCGCAAATTCAAAGTCCATCTGCCTGAAATGGAGAAGCCGCCGTAGGTACTTGTAACGTTTGGCGCCGGCTGTGTGGCGCGCCGCGTCCCTGGAGCTGAGGGCGCCGTTGCTGTGCTGCGAGGTGGTTGGCAACATAGTGCTAGAAACCAAAACAAATGTAAATAAAAGGTTCACAGACAATGAAACAAAACATCTAGGTGATTATTKGCCATCAGGTTTAGCATATGATTTTGGGAACTGATATTTCTAATGATTTACAAAGTCTTTCATCAAAATTCCAATAATTGCAGCAAAGAGGTAAGGGGTCTGGTTTAGTGACTTCAGGAATGTGTCTCTGCAGCTAGACTCAGTTGGAAAAGGGTGGACTGCCCTCTTTAGGTTGGAGGTGAGACTCTCTCCATTTACTGCTCAGTCCATTTTACCTCCCTCAAGCCTGCAGCCTTGATTGTCATCTAGAAGAGCCAGTTGAGGGGGTTCAGGCGTCAAGAAAGAGACCCCCCCACCCCCAACAAAAAAACAGCCTTCCTAGGGAGGTTTGCTGGGCATGTTCAACTGGGAGGACAGCCCACAGAGGACCTAGAAATTAAGTAGTTCTTCTAGAAGAGAAGGACTGTGGAAARAGATGTCTGGGCCTCCCTGCTCAAATTGCTGCGCCCATGACCTGACTCCAGAGTAAGATGACGATAATGGATGGATAACATCAGAGTTGTAATTTGTTTGCCTTTTTTAAAGAAAGTATGGTAATGGGTACTGCTTGCATTGAGGTAATATATTTAAAATATATTTGGAATAAGTCCAAAATAAAGAGAAAAGCTTAATAAACAGATCACACCCGTGTTGTGCTTAGTGGCTTTTTAATTTAGCTTAGGTTTAAAACAATTACAACGTTAAAATAAAAATAAAATGAAAGCGTACMTGACATCTTCAATTTTGTAAAAATGCTGAATAAATTTGAGTTTAAAAGAATAATAGATAAGTTAAATATACACCTAAAATCATTCTGTAAATACATATACACGGCTGTGCTGTGACTCTACATAAAGTGCAGTTTTAGCTTTGTTTGTTTACCAGCARCAACACTTAGCTTGATGCTAACGGCTCTAATAAGAGGAAGAGGGCACGTTTTAGCTTCGTCAMCAGCACATGTATAAACACCGCCATGACGGTTTACTCCGTGGAAATATTTTGAATATCGATGTTAATTTACTTACTTATTTTGTTTTGTTCCTTCGCGAAAACGAGCTAATGACTCCTTAATCGTATCTGTGTAGCTAACGTGCAAACGCTTCCTGAACTGTCGTGGAAAGTTGCWCACGTAGAATTTCCTGTAAACACCCGGTGCATGATGGGATATGTAGTAGATACTTCATACAGAATGTCGCAAACGATTACAAAAAGAAAAATGTTGTAAAGAATCACACACAAAGAAACAAACAGTAAAATAAAAGTGTCTCAAACATGTATCCGATTTGTTTTTGTGTGTACTTTTATTTCTGAAAARTAAAATCAAATAAGCAACCAACGAGCCCTCATTTTGAAAGGAAGTGTGACGCCACGATACTTCCGCTAACACTAGCTGTTTACTCGTTTAATCTGGTGAATTATCAGACACTACCGCTGTTGGTCGACAAGGCCGAATAGCAGAAGGTAGGCACAAGCTACGAATCTTGCAGCCATGCATTAGTACACATTTATGTTTTTTAAAATTGAAATTGATGAGTAAAGTATTTGAGCACACGTGACTCCGATTTACCTTCCAACAACCTTGTCCTTGACKGCTAGTAGCTTAGCTCACTGGGAGATTAGCGCTACTTCCAGTGGTTTCTAAAATAAACTAAAATAAAGTCACCATTTCTAACCTTGCTGAACATATATTTTGTTAGTATAATTCTTAAAACTGCCTTTTCGTTCTTTCAGATATTTTTAAAATGCTAGCTGAAGGGGCGCTAGCATTTGTTGTTGACACGAACTGTTTACAAAAACTACGTCACAGAGTATTTCATTAAATTATTAGTTTTTCCTCCGTTTCCATTCTTATTACTGCAGTGTTTAAATTCTATTTTGAAAGCTTCCTCACACATTTGGCTCTTGTCATGTAAATTTAAAACTGTCAGAATAATCTGCGTTAGGTGTTTGTAAAAGTAAAAGCTTTGTCAAATGCATCATATAGTGAAACAAAATATACATCAAGATTTTATAAACATTGGAAGAGCTGTTTGTATGCTTTTTGATGAATGTTTTATTATATTTTATTTTATTACGTATTTTATTGTTTTTTAATGTGGACAATTTTTTTGTCTGAGATAATAATAATAAAGAAAAGTAATCTGCGTTAGGTGTTTGTATTAAATAAAACCACACTCAGTCAAGGGTTCTCTAATATAATTTTGTGTATCTGTTGGCAAACAGAAGAAGATTTTGTTTTCTTTTTTAAATTGTGATCAACCATAGGCTTAGCGGTTAATTAATTTAACAGATTTGGTCTTTTCTTTGTTGATTTGCATTAAATTTATACAGTGGGGAGATCAAGTATTTGATACACTGTTGATTTTTCAGATTTTCCCACTTGCAAAGCTTGTAGATGACTGTAATTTTTATCATAGGTTAGGGGTGGGCGATATGATCAAAATTTTATATCACGGTATTTTCAACATTTTCACCRGTTTCACGGTATTTGACGGTATTTTTCTTTTCATCACAGCTCAGCTGATAATAAAAAGTACAAAGCCTGCTTATACATGTCAACTTGTACAGATTGTCTGTAAGTTAAAAGGATTTAACATCATTTTACAGGTATACGGACGTATACAGCAATGTCACGGATCTTTTCAAGTCTTACGGATTTTTTCAAAACCTGATTTTCAAATTTATCTAACATGTCAGAGCCTGTAGGATGATTTAAAAAACAATAAACAACATAAGACAGCCATCTTTTAACCTGTTCTGCCGCTAGAAATAAGTTTTGAACTTTTTCCGCTCTCCTCTCCTCCTGCTGCTCAGTGGGCGCTTTCATGTCCGCTACTACTATTACTGCTGCTACTAATAATTATTAATTTAAATTGTAACACTTTCCATTAGCAAAAACCTCAAAGTGGTAGAGAACAGCAAAACTCAAATAAAACCAGTAAAATCAAAAAACATAAAAACAATAAAATTACACTTCTATAAACAACAGCCAGAGCTTGGACAAGGCTCGATTTTAAACCCAGTTTAAAATATCTAAAATCAGTGATTTTCTGTTTGACACAAACTTCTAATCGTTCTTAATACACGTCACAGTGTCCTTGATCAACTTAGTCCCTAAGCTGCCCGARTGCTTACRTAGCTGCCTGCTGCTCCACTTGGGTCTATCTCACATGATGGGTCAAATGCAGAGCAYAAATTTCACCCCTGCATGGGAACATACATTGATGACAAWACATAGCACATTGTTACCATGTCTTGTCAACACATAAGCTCACCTCGTGTGTTTTCACTTCCAGCGTTATGTTGCGACTGCCATCAGTTGGCCGAGCTCTAGCTGGAGCTGCCAAGGGCGGCCTGGCTCCTGCAAACCTCGGTAAGACTCRGTCGTTAAGGCTTTTGGCAGTTTGTATTTAGAAACTTTTGAGTACATTATAATACAGTGTTAACCATTTTGAAAAGAATGTTTGTAAAAGATGAAYGTTTCTGGATTTATTTATAATAGAGGGTGGTCCTATCAGTTAAGCTTTTCTTTCTTTGTGCATTTTTCAGTGTGCACCCCTGCGCGCGCCGCCAGCAACATGGTGGAGGTGTTTGTGGATGGGAAGCCAGTGGAGGTGGAGCCTGGAACGACCGTGTTGCAAGTGAGAAGCTTCACRTTATTTCACCGCCGGAGTAAAATCCATAGTTAAATGCGTCACCTTCATGTTTAAGTTGAAGTTTTGTGCCCCTCGAGGTCATAGATGAGCTTTGCTGCTAATTGATTTTTTTTCTTTTGCTTTTAAGTTTTTGAAGGGTGAAAATATTTCCAGCTTGAACTTGATCTGTTACACAGTTGTGTCACCCGGAGATTGTTTTTGGAGTTGCCTTTCGTTGCTTTAAATTAAGTATATATTATTTTTCTTTTCCCTACAGGCCTGTGAGAAAGCAGGAGTTCAAATCCCAAGGTTCTGTTATCACGAGCGTCTCTCGGTAGCAGGAAACTGCCGCATGTGTCTCGTGGAGATCGAGAAAGCTCCGAAGGTATCTCTCAACAGGCCGCAGTAAACACTGTTTTGTAGAAAATAGGGCTGCAACCAACGATTATTTTAATAATCGATTAATCTGTTGATTATTTTTTTGGATTAATCAATTAATCGGCCAAATCATTAAAACGCTTAATTAAATAAATATGAGTAGATATAAATTAACTCCTTAAGGAGCAAGTTATTGATTAATTAATTAATCTGAAGTTGATTTATCTTATAGATTGATTAACAATTAATTGATAAGCAGCCATTTTCTTAAAAACACTGGAGTTTTCTCTTGAATCAAGAGGGTTTTTCCATAAAATGAAGGATTTTTTTATAATCTCCTGAATTAAAAAACAGAAGGACATCATAACAATTTTAACAATTTATTTCGTCAGCTGTATTAAATACCAACTGAAAAAAATGTGTATTTCTCCTACATGAAACATAACAGAAATTTTAGAGGTTGCTGAATGAGGAAAATAGAATAAAATATGATTTTTAGATGCACAACTATTATACAATTTATTTACATTTAACATTTATAATTTTTCTCTAATTCTTTACTTTTTGCTTCATTCTGTTGGTTCTGTCTGATTTGACCCAGTATAAGTGGTTCTGAGGCAGCCCCGCCCTCCCGTCTCTTCTCCCTCCTCCCCTCTGCCTGCAGACCTGCTGCTTGCGTCTTTTTTTTATTTTTTATTCCTTCGTCCGGCACCTTTTTGCTGCTCAACAAATAACTTTGAGCCTCAGTCAGAAAAAACTGGAGGGTTTTTATACTTTTGGCCCGAGAGGAATCAAACGGTGGATTTATGTGCCCCCCCCGTACGCGTTTCCTCCTCGCGACGCGGCTCGCATTAAATAGACCGTCTTTTAAAAATATTAGCTGTGGTAGATACTTTTTATCCTATCTTYGGATCTACTTGGCCTAACAACACGATTTAAAAACTGGTTTAAAGTTCAAAGTCTCTACTTTTCACTCGAGATTCAGAGAGGGCGGATCTTTACAGGTAGAGTTTTCTTCTTCCTAAACTTTATTTAGGTCAGCCAGCATTGACAACGCTCTGTGGGTGATGTAATCGGCTCCGCGACACGGCGAGGGACGCAAAAATCGTGTGACACAACGAATCGATAATGAAACTCGTTGCCAACGCTTTTAATAATCGATTTTTATCGATTCGTTGTTGCAGCCCTAGTAGAAAATAAATTTAACCATACGTGGACACACTTTACGGACAGAGTTTGTGTCTTGCAGCCGGTAGCAGCCTGCGCCATGCCCGTCATGAAAGGCTGGAACATCCTCACTAACTCAGAGAAGACACGTAAAGCCAGGTACAAACCTCTGTGGTCTTTGTCAGCTTTTCTGTGAACGTCAACTTCACTGTAGTTTGATGAAGGTGGTTGTTATCAGGGAGGGAGTGATGGAGTTCCTCTTGGCAAACCACCCACTGGACTGCCCTATTTGTGACCAGGGAGGAGAGTGTGACCTGCAGGTAAATCTGCATACAATGACCTCCAGTCCAATGGAGAAGTTGGACAGAGCATTAAATTTGTTGGATTGCCTAACAGAAAACTGGGTTCTGTGTTTCAGGATCAGTCCATGCAGTTTGGTTCAGACCGCAGCCGTTTCACAGAAGAGAAGAGGGCAGTGGAGGACAAAAACATCGGACCTCTCATCAAAACCATCATGACTCGCTGTATCCAGTGCACACGCTGCGTCCGGTAAGTCTTAAATGCCTGAATCTGATCGGTCAACCGGTAGAGATCTCCCTTCACCAGCAGGTGGWGTCAGCATCTTCCTGTATGTTGCTGCAGTTTTGCCAGTGAGGTCGCCGGAGTGGAAGACCTGGGAACAACGGGAAGAGGAAATGACCTTCAGATCGGGACATACGTGGAGAAGTTGTTCATGTCAGAGCTGTCGGGCAACATCATCGACATCTGTCCTGTCGGAGCGCTCACCTCCAAACCGTACGCTTTCACCGCGCGACCCTGGGAGACCAGGTAGGAAAACAACCAAACACAAAAACGACTGCTAATGTTGCTTATTTTAAAAAAAAAATCATTGAGCATCATCTTGTTTTTGTTCCTTTTGCTTTGTCTTTTGTTGTTTTTGCAGGAAAACAGAGTCAATCGACGTGTTGGACGCTGTAGGAAGTAACATCGTGGTGAGCACAAGAACGGGGGAGGTGATGAGGGTGATTCCCAGGCTGCACGAAGACATCAATGAAGAATGGATTTCAGATAAAACCAGGTGATGCATAAATATGCCCAAAACTCCCATCATTTCTGGAAAATAAGTACTGGTTTCCTTGACTAACTGGAACGTGGGTCCACAGGTTTGCATATGATGGTCTGAAGAGGCAGAGGCTGACCCAGCCAATGGTGAAGGATGAATCGGGTCAGCTGACCCCCGTCTCTTGGGAGGACACTCTGGCTCGTGTTGCAGGAGCAGTAAGCGTGTTTTGGTTCTAGCTTCTTTCGCGTTAATCGTAGCGTTAGCTTGCACTGACGTCTGTGCACATCTGCGCAGCTTCAAAGCGTGGATGGCAGTAAAGTGGCAGCCATAGCTGGAGGGATGGTGGACGCCGAAGCTCTGGTTGCCCTCAAAGACCTCTTGAACAGGTTCAACTCTGAGAATCTCTGCACTGAGGAGGTCTTCCCCATGTCGGGGGCTGGGTGAGAAAGACTCTGCTCCTCCTTTTTAAATTATCAACACAAATCTCTGTGGAGGCTTTTTTTCCCCCACTTACTTTCTGCTTTTTGTCTTTAGCACCGACTTGCGCTCCAATTACCTGCTGAACAGCCGCATCGCTGGCATCGAGGAGTGCGATCTGCTGCTGCTCATTGGAACAAACCCACGCTATGAAGCTCCACTGTTCAACGCCAGGATTCGTAAGAGGTAAAACCGTTTACAACACCTTTCTATCAGTAGAGTTTGTTTAGTGTTATCATTCGGATCATATCACTTCTTTCTTTTCATTTCTCAGCTGGCTCCACAATGAGCTGCGTGTTGCTGTGGTGGGTCATGCAGTGGATCTGACTTACACGTACGACCACCTGGGAGAGGAGACTTCAGTGCTGAAAGAGCTGGCAAATGGCTCTCATCCCTTCTGCCAGGTGTTACACACACACACACACACACACAAACACACATCCTTGTATTTGTATCAAACAGGACATTTTATTGACTTCCATTCATTTTTGAACTGTATTTATGCCTAACCCAGACATTTTCCCTAAAATTAACCATTACTGGTCTATTCCTACCCTTAACCTGAACCAAAACTTAATTCACACCATACCTCTAAACCTAACGAGTAAAGCACAGCAGAGTTGCAAACAAACTGAGGACATTGAAGAGGTCCTCTGTTTACATCAAAGACCTAACTTTGATAGTAACTATGGTGAAAATGGTCCTCACTCTGTAGTAAAAACAAGTACACACACACAGTGGGTTGGGTAGATTCCCACCACTTGTTACTTAAATGTTCCTCTTCCTTTGCCGTCATGCAGGTTCTCGCAGCTGCGAAGCGTCCAGTGGTGGTCGTCGGTAGCAGCGCGCTGCAGAGAGAAGACGGGGCGGCCATCTTGAGCTCAGTCTCCACCATCGCTCAGAAYGCCAGAACCAGCAGTGGAGTGGAGGATGGATGGAAGGTCCTYAATGTGCTGCACAGGTACAAACCAGCAGACATCAGAGGAGATGGTCTTATTTTTGCATCTGGGTGGTTAGGTTAGACAGAATCTGATTTAATTTTGAAATGTGATGACTCTGAAACATTTGGTTAGTGTATACATTTCCAGTGATAAACACAATGCTGTTGTGTTTTTAATGTTGTAAAGTGTCCTTGGGTGTCTTGAAAGGCGCTAACAAATAAAATGCTTTATTATTATTA